AAAGGGAAGCGAAATATTTGTCGCATCATCATTTTAACATTCTCTTCACGGGTATTTTCCCATAAATGTGCGTCAGCAGCAGCGCTAGTCACGCATTGAATCAACGCTATATGGGTCTCTAATAAGCGAAGCATCAGCTTCAGCGTTGCCCATGCGACGCATTGCTGCTCAGCTGAGCCTTGAAAAGTTGAACCTCAAAGTTAAAAATAATTAACCTCTTGTTTCTTTACATCTCCTTTAATGAATCAGCTTTTTTAAACGTGTTCGTTGAATGAACGGTTCAATGACTCGCTCAAAGTCCGTTGTCATAACAATATGTGCGCTGAGTGAAAGTCTTTCAATGCGCATATACTGTAGACGCTGTTTAGTTTCGGTTACATTGGTTACTGAAAATGTCCTCGTTTTTGTCCACATCGTAAACTTTATTTATATAGCAACAAATACATATAAATTAAATAAATAAATAAATGGCGGTAATACCGCATATCGCGCTATTGAGCCACTCAACATTACTGCAAGGGAAATTCCATAACCGCGACAGCCAGATAACCTTTTGTAACCAATCACTCCAAATCAGCTGTCTTGGTTATTGAATGGCCTTAAAAAGCAGAACATATAGTAGAAATGGCAGCAATTTTGTAAATTAAAGTACCTTTGTAAAGTTCTAGTGGCAGTATAACAAAAACCATAATTATACAATATCAACTCTGTATGTAGTGCAAATCAAACCAGTAGGTGTCCTTGTCTTAACAGGCAGCAGGCGAGTCTGTTTCTCAGGTGGGCAGGGGAACTTCTGATCCCTTAATAAATCCGCGACCTCCAATGAAGAAGGCTGCCTTAGAAAGATCCTCTGCAAATCTTAAACCGTTGTCGCGCAGAACCGGTGACGTCTTGGCAGCTTTCCATATGGTGTCTCTGCAGACTCGTGCGATGAACTGGGTGATGATGCCTCTGGGTTTGTAGTCATTCTGCCGCTAAGTGCGGAGCCGATGTACGGTGTCGATAGTGTCAGACAGCCTGTTCTTCTCCTCAGGCAAAACAGCCTGACAGACCTCGATGGCTTTCCTTCCTATGTTTTCCATTTCTGATTCTTCAACTCCGTAAAGTCTAAGCTTCCATCTCCTGGAGTATCTTTCTAACTCCGAGACCCTTTGGTGACATGTGTCTACTAGTTTTTCTTCTTTTATTTTCCCTATGAGTGTACATGCTTTGCTCTTTACCTCCTCAACCTTTGCACACACAAAGTCAATTGTCTTTTTTCAATTTTAAGTGCATTGGCACTGACTATGCTTTCAATGCTCTCTGACCACGTGTTTATTAGGGCTGAGAGGCTAGCTATAATATCGTTGGCGTTTGTTTGCTCAGACCCCATTGTGCACATTTTCTTCGGTACTGGCGACTTACTGGGAGTGGTAGGCAGCAGTGGAATATATACTGCTCAAAAAAATAAAGGGAACACTTAAACAACACTTAAAAAGTAAAAACAACAAAAAAAGTATTTAATAAGATTATTTCATTCATTCAGATCTATAATGTGTTATTTTAGTGTTCCCTTTATTTTTTTTGAGCAGTGTATAAAGAATGCATGTTTTCCCTTCATTTTCTTTGTAACGACAACTAGGTGTGTATAAGGTCTTGCAGTCAATAAAACAAAATAATAGGAAGCGCCATCAGTAAAACTTAAAATGGCTCAGTGATTTACTGTCAACTTTGTTACTTACACAATCAAATATTAGTATCACTGTCACTTGATGGTGGATCTCATAAATAAGCTGTCAAAGACCAAATAGTTCATTTAGAAGATGTTGAAAATGATAGTTTTGAGAATGTACTGGGAAAGGAGTTCTAATGAGGAAAGTGATGATGGTATAAAACACCTGCTCAAACTGAACCCTTGCAAGGTTCAAAAGGTAACAAATTCAGTTTTTTTTCTATTATTATTCTGTAACTGTTACTCTAATATCAGGAGAGTTTTATATTATCGCGACAGGCAGAGATTCATCCATGTTAGATATAGATCCAGGTCACTAAAGACCCAAAATGTTTTTTTCCGAAACATAAATGCATTTAAAAGTTAAAAAAAAAAGAAAAGAAAAGAAAATAATAGAAGTGTATGCCAACAAACCATATACAAAGTCTGAGGAACGGCAGTGTAAAGTATTTGAGTAAATGTAGGGTAATAGTACAACTACCAAGCAGCCAAAAAGATACCTTAGTACAGTAACTGAGTATCCAAGATATTAGCAACTTTTAGGCCACATTTACACAAAGCCGGGTATTTAGAGAAACAAATATTTCCCCCCACTCCATTTTCAATAACAACATCGTACACACACCCGCACAAATACGCCGTCTAGTGCCATCATATCTATGCCAAACCTATGGGTGGCAGTGTAGGGAGAAAGATAAAGCCATGCAAGCCAATCAGAATCAACAAGAGAGAACCTAAAACACCGTTTCTCCCAGTTCACACGACAACAAATAACCGGCGTTTTCAGAAATCTTCACTTTGCCCGGAGGTTTCAGAAATAATCGTTTTCTGTGATAAAAACTAGGTTTTCGTGTAAATGAGAGGCCAAACCGCAGATAAATATCTGTGTTTTACCTTAGTGTAAATGGGGCCTTACTCCCAAATTTACTGTTTTGAACAAGTATATGTACTCTTTACTCCATACATTTGTGATGAGTAATGTAATTACTTGTTACATTTTGCATAGCGCCTAACTTTTTCTTCAACTGTTTATTCCTGCTACAAAGGCGTTATCGTCATCTACAGGGTATTTAAGGTACTATAATTTGTACGTTTTGCCATCATTCACAAACTTGTCAACAAGAATACTTTACGAATGTGAGTGCATTATCAGGTAGCTATGGAATCGTAGATTTCATTTATGAGATGAGAACATGACTTTCAGCAGGTGATGAGGCCAAAACCATACAAGTAGGTCTATGACTTTTTTAGGCATTAATTATATTTAACATTATTTTATTCATCAGTCATATTGAAGAGACCTTTTTGAAGGATATTAATTTACATAGTGTTTGTATATGTTCTTGTTTTTTTTTTGTTTTTTTTTCCATAGCATGTCTCTTAGCTGTTGAGCAATCCGTATAATACCAAGAGTAAAATAGTTAAGTAAGCTACCCTACTGTTAAAATCAGATACAATACTTTAACTCCAGGTGTATTGAAATTGATGACTAACTTGAAATTGATGACTAATTGAGTCATTGTTTCTGTACTTTTACTCGACTAGGTTTTTCAGGTCCTCTTCACACTATTAGGACCAGTTATTCACATGGTAAACTTTGAAACTCTTACCTCTTTCTGTTGATTTCTCAGTTCTGAATATGCCTCTGAGGCAGTAACACAGACTGTAATGAACCTTCACAGCTTTGCATTCTGGATGCCAACCATAAGGATTTCATTTTGTCAACTCACCAATAGACTTAAATAGAGCAGTTTAGAGATGCGTATTTTGTTTTTGGAAACACATGCTCTTTATTTGCGCCAAGATGTTTTTTTTTTTTTTTTTTTTTTTTTTTTCCTGCATTTTTAAATCACAATAAGGCCTTTATTTGTGTATCATAGTGACAGAAGAGAAGCGTTTAAAAAATGCTGGTTTAAATTCCCTAGAGCATATTGAGCATGTGCTAATGATTAACTTTTTGTATTCTTGATTTCTTTAAACATTGCTTCAAGAACATAACATTTGTTCTGCGTGTGTATTTTTGTTTTTAATTCCAAATGTAATTCACTGAATCCACGTGTGGTGTTTTAGTAGAAAGAATATTGAGCAAGTTAACTGCACATATATAAATGAAATGCTCAAAATAGATAAATAAAACAAACACAATCACATCAGTATCTCAGCGTCATTGCTTTTATTCTTTGCAGTAAATCTGAATTCAATTGCTTTGCCTTTCATTTTGGATATAATAATGTCACTGGCTTTCCAAGACATAAATATGAAAAAGCAAATACATTGATATTGGCGTATTACAGTCTGATGTGATTTTAGATGATGAATAAAATAAAGGTGCCCAGTTTTATATGGATTCCTGTAAAGGCTGTGCTTGAGCGTGACCATCTTATACTGCCAGCAAATTAAGACACTGCCAAAAGGTCACCTTACATACCAATATCAGCCCCAAATAGACAGAGGTTCTCCTCCTTTGAACAAGAAAATCTACATAGTGTTCCCAGATCTGACTGGTTAAAGCTACTTGATCCACATCCTCCTCCGTCTAAATTGGGCCAGTGGGTCGAAAGCAGCGGAGCCTTGTGAAAAAGATTCACTAGTTTGCATGACTGTGGGCAGTCTCTATCAATCAGAAGCACAATGCTTAGAGGTGGAAACCGAGGCTGGAATATTCAGACACCTTCTCCTGGCAGAGCAGCCGAGTATAACCGGTGTCTCAAGAATTGATGGGAACAGTTTTATTAAAATGGATCAAATGGTTCTTTGCCATTCTTGCTGACAATCATCTCATAACTTTGTGTATTTGATTTTCTTTATTCCTCCAAATTATACTTGGCAAAATAATAACTTTGGCATCAGCACAGTATACACTCTAAAAAATGTGTGTTTCAGGTAATCGAAAAATGTGCTTCATGTCCTAAAAAATGTAAGGCAGTGCTATTTTAGTATCTTTTAAATATTTTAGTATTCTATTTTGGAAATAAAATAGGTCAATTTTTTATATTTTGTTTTCAGGTAATGTTCATTTTATTTTATTTTTTATCGTTTCAGTTTTAGCTTTTTTTTTTTTTTTTTAAATAACCCTGCTTTAAAGTAACAATGTCTTGTTTTCTATTTTTACGACGAATAAGGTATTATAAAATGATAAAATATGTGTTTTATTCAATAACACTTACAGCTGCGACCCTGATGCACGGGAATGAATATTCAAAATGAAGTCTCCTGTTCCAGGCTGAAAGCCTAAAGCTATTGCATGCTCAGCTTGAATGTGTTGTGTTTGTGTGTGTGTGTATTTTAGCAGACCCAACGCCGCGTGACCTTTCACCTCCCGGACGGTTCTCAGGAGAGCTGCAGTGACAGCGGGCTTGGAGAGCAGGAACCCAACAGCGGTGCCAGCACCACCCAGCCTCTGCCCTTGGGCTTCCCTCAGGAAGAGTACTATGAACAGACCTCACCGAACAGCCGCACTGAGGGTGACGGCAACTCCGACCCCGAGTCCAGTAAGTACTGACCGCTGCCCTTTACCAGCACTTTTTCATCAGCTGAGGAGGCAAAAGGAAGAGGAGGTCACTGTACTGTGAATGGCCTCCAAAGTTGATGAATTGCTAAGCAATGCTTTTAGCACGTTTTTTTTTTTAATTCTTCATCTATGAACACATTCAGATGGTTGTCACATATTTCTCAGGCCTGTACACTTGTTCAAATGTTTGAGTTAGGTCTTTTTTATGTTTTGAAAAAAAAAAAAAAAAAAAAAAAAAAAGAGCAAACAGTCTCACCAAGGCTGAATTTATTTATTTTACAGTTAAATATTTTAAAATGTAATGTTTTCCTGTGATGGCGAATCTGTATTTTCAACATCAATACTCCAGTCTTAAAGGGATACTCCACTTTTTTTGGGGAAATAGATTCATTTTACTACTCCCCCAGAGTTAAACAGTTGGGTTTTACCGTTTTCGAATCCATTCACTGATGTTCTTCTAAATATCAGAAAATCGGCTGAATGGATTCAAAAACGGTAAAACTCAACTGTTTAACTCTGGGGGAGTTGTAAAATGAGCCTTTATTTCCAAAAAAAGTGAGAAAAAAAAAAGAGTATCCCTTTAAAAAAATCCTTCAAAAATCATTCTTATATGATGATTTGACACTCAAGAAACATTTCTTACTTATATCATGTTTGACAACAATGGTCAGCTTAATATTTTTGCAGAAACTGTTCCTGTTTTTCATTTGATGAATAGAAAGTATAAATGTTCAATATATACAGTCGTCAACATTTAAAGTGGATCAAAATCTTTCAAAGTTATACATGAATTTTGTCTTTTCGGACAACTTTGATTTAACTTTTTTGATCCACTTCAAATCTTGACTACTGTATTTGAAAACTTTTGTAACATTATAAATGTCCTTTCTCTCATTTTTGACCAGTTTAATCACCCCTTCCTGACCTCAAATGTTTGAACTAGTGTATGTGTGTGAATGCATGTAAATATACAAAATATACACTCTTTTATCATTTTTTTTACTCAAAAACAAGACAGAAAAATAGCACAGCCGCTATGAACCTGAACTCTCCATTTATGTTCTTATCTTGTGTATGAATCAGGATGAGTTTTGAGTTCCATACTTCAAATCAATTGACATCGATTCCGGTTCAAATCTGACCATTCATGTATATATCATCCAATAAATCCCTACGTTTATTTTTTTTTTCTCTCTTCTCTGAGGATTGGTTTTCCATCTGCAAGAGTAGAAATGTGTAGTTTATAAGGCACATTGCTGCTAAGTGAACATTATGCTGCCCTCTGCAGTAGTGCTTTGCGGAGCAAATAATGCATGTTTAGGGAGGGTGTTTATTTGCTCAAGTTGTTATTGTTTAATGAGGCGCAAAAGAGCTGGTTAGTATTTACTGCTGGGCTACTGTCTATATCGCACGGCCATTAGTATGACCGACTGCTCTTTGTGAATGTAAGCTTGGGAGATCTTCTTCATCATGAGGCATATAAAGTGTTCTTTGTGTTTGATTCTTGCCTTAACCCTGGGATGTAAAGGCCTTGTGTCTCGGAAAAAAAAAAAAAAAACGTAGGACGGTCCAGCGTGGCTGGTGGATCCTTTGATTCCAGGGTTCATTTCAGCATCATCATCAGGAAACTGTGGGGAGACTATGATCAACACAAATCTCTTCATCTCTTTCTAGCTTACACATCAATAAAATCAGTGGATTTCCATAACTTTATTCATGTTTTTGAGGCAACACAAGTTTGAAGAAAAGAAAAAAAAAAAACACAGGAGAAATAAATTGGCTTGCGTACACCTGCAGGTATCCTCTCTGTCTGGTCCATAAATGAGACGATAGCATCTCTGACTGATACACACACGTCTTTGCATTGCAGCAAAGCTGTGACACTCACAGTGTTGTGTAAGAATGAATGCATTTCTTCAGCTTTACCCCTGCCAAGCTATTTACATACACATGATGGCCAGTCTTTGCACTTAGATTATCTGTTGTTGAACCGGCCTGCTGTCTATGATAATGCAACATGTTCTCCCAAACTGAGCTGTATATTTATATTCCTGTTTTTCATATTAATGTGTGCGTCTAATGAACTGTAACGTATACTATCGTCATTCTATGCATGACGTATAGAGTCAACCTACTCTTTAGCAACTGGCAAAAAAGGTAGCTAGCAACATTAAATTACATTGTTTACAGAATAATATAATTATTTATATTAATTTTTAAATGAGCTGCAAAACTTAACAACTCTTTATTTATACAAGTGAATTAAAAACATGGTGATAAACAGCAGCATTTACAAATTAAATATTTATTTCACTGCAAAAAATGAAGATGTGAAATGCCTTGATGAGTGATGATTCAGTCAGTCATGATTCAGAGTCAGTTCGATAAGATGAACCAACGAACTTTCGAAAATAGCATCGCAAAGTTGTGTGGTTGGAACGACAGCTCGAAACATAGTTTCTAAATTGCATGACATGTGGACTTAATAAATTCATATCTTGAGCAACATAAGCAAGCTGACATTCAGTATAACCTTTGTCTTTTATTTAGAATACATACAAATGTCATTTACGTCTTTGAGTTTGTCAAGATATTTAAAGTAACGTTTTTGAAGACTGTGCATGTGCAAACGTGCTCTACTATGCAAGAACGAGCCTACGATTGAATTTTGGAAATAAAACGAAATAACTGAGAAAAATTTGAAATATTCCAGGTGCCATGTCTGTAATTTATATAAAAACATCTAGCATTAATTCAATCTCAAAACAGTTTCATTAAAATAAGTTATTACTCCACCATGAGCATGACGTCATGAACCAACGTGGTTGAACAACACTTTGCGACAATATACAGTAGTTTCGGGAAACAGTCGTGACTAGCTGATTTTTTTCAACAATGCATAGTACTAGTGAAGCATCGAGTTATGTCGTTGTACGGGAAACACACCCCAGATGAATCTGAATCCTCTACTGTAAGTGATTTCAAGGGTTGGTTCACCCAAAAATTATAATTCTGTCAGTAGTTACTCACCCTCAGGTCACTTAAAAATAAATAAATAAATAAATATACACACAGTATCTATACAGGGGTCACCAACACGAGCGGGCACAGCGAAGATAGTAGCTGAAAGCAGTTTCTTGCTCCAAAAACATGGCAGAAAAAAAGGAAGAAAACGTATCACTTTCACAACGATTGGAAGGAGGAATTCTTTTTTACGACTGTGAAAAAAACCTGCGTGTGTCTCATTTGCGGGGCGACCGTGCCGATGGCAAAGTGGCACAATGTGTAGAGACACTTCACTACGTGTCACAAAAGTTACCATACTAATCACCCACCGAAAGTGCACTATGGGCAGAAAAAGCCTGTGAGCTAAAGGCAGCTTTGGGTAAGCAACAGCCTTTTTTCATGAGAACCGTGAAAAAACGCAAAAAGCAACTGAAGTCTCATTTAGAGCTAAACATTTTCTGATCAAGAAGAAGAAGGCATTTTCAGATGGAGAATAAACACAGAACACGCCTCACTGATGGACATCTGAAATACTCATTCACAGCTGCAGGGTCAAGTTTACATGTATTCATTTAGCCGACACTTTTATCCAAAGTGACTTACAATTGCTATACATGTCAGAGGTCACAGGGCTCTGGAGCAACTAGGGGTTAAGTGTCTTGCTCAGGGACACATTGGTGTCTCACAGTGGATTTGAACCTGGTTCTCTCACAGCAAAAGCATGTGTCTTATCCACTGCGCCATCACCACCCCTATACCAGATTACAATACACTGGTGAACAGCATGCAATGCCAGTCTTCCCACTAGGAAAGAAACAGATACCAGATGTTGTATGAAGAAGTTCATACCATGGAGAAGTTGAATTTTGTGTTAAATTTAAAAGTGTGTTAAAAAATTCCGCAGATTTGGTCAGTTGTTCAAAATGCGACAAGATTTATTTAAAAGTAACTTGATTTTTCAACAATACATGATTGATAATTTTTTGCAACATAGTTCATGATTTGCTAAAAGGGTTTGTCAATGGCTAGTGAAAATGGGACATTTTTCCAATGAAATGTAGTGATGTAAGTGATCATCTGAAAATGTAACAATTACTGAGAAGAAAGTGCTGAATATTGATATCTGTTTCCCACCTTATTGTCATTGTTGATGATTATTGTGAGAAATCATTAATGTGATCAGTGTCTTCACAAAGATGAGTATCATTAATCAATATTAATAATGCATAACTAAAGGCAAACTGAGCAAATTTGTTATTTCAGACGTGCGTATCAAACTGGTAGCCCTTCATATGACTCAGTAAACATAATGTAGCTCTCAGTTTAAGGTTGGTGACCCCTTATGACCAGGAGTTGTACTTACTCCCAAAAGTTCAGAACTTTCCAATTCAAATCAGTTGGACAAATTACTTTAGGTAAAGTAAATGTGTACTGCATAATACTTTTTTTGATCATCCTTGAAACACAAATAAATATTTATCTCCCTCCATTGAAAGCCATTTAAAATTCATGCTTCAAAAAGTTTATTAAGAAATCATAAAATATATCCATATGAATCAAGCTGTTTAGTCCAAGTCTTTTGAAAAGACACCATTGGTGATTTAATTAAGATTTAATGTAGGCTTTTATTTGCATATAAACATTGATCAACACAAATAAATAGAGCATATTAAATATTGCAAACAGGAGCTCAAACATGCCTTGTTGATTTGTGAGAACCAATTATGTTTGTTCTTGCACATAAACAAGCAAGTTGGAGTATCTGTACCTTATGTGATGTTCTCGATGTATGCGTGTTGATCAGAAAAATGTCTCAAGATGCGTCAGAGCCGACAGCCTCCTGGGACGCGTTTTGACATTTAGCGAAACTGGGCCTCTGGCCAAAAATAAAAATGATCATTTGTGTTTAGGGTTTGGAACTACACAAGGCTGAATAGTTAATGACAGATTTTTTTTCAAATTAATATTCTATTA